TCGGAGCAGGTGGGGTCGGGGGGTGGCGCCGCATCGCCGATGCATCGGCGATGCGACTCGATGTGGAGCCCGAGTTTCTCCACGCCGACAGCGCCGATGCACCACCGACGTCGCCGATGTATCTGCGATGCATCGCTGATGCATCGCGGAGTCGGCGCGATCCTCCGAGCCCATCTATTCGAACCCTAGTAGGGAGGCCTCCAGTTCAGGGGGCGGGAGACAGGCATCAAAAGGCAACGCAAAGAATCCGAGGCAGCAGTCTTGCGCAATACCTCACAGCCTAGCGCCCCCAGGGGGGCCAGCGTGTGAGAGGCCTCTGTGGGCCATATTCGTCCGGCTTCGGCCCCTGTAGGCCCGCTTCGGATCGTCTTTAATACTGAAGGGCGTCATTGGCTCTCTTTGCCGTCTGGTGGCTTCCGTCGAACAACAAATATTTGCATCGGGCTCACGTTCTGCGAACATTGCCTGTTATTTTGGAACATTTCTGGGTTCTACGAACATTTTGTGGTAGGCCTACAGGAATGCCGGGACAGTCGGTCCCTGCGCAAAGAAGGGGGCGTTTGGCACTTGGATTGTATGCCCCATTTTGTGCACCCACATATTTGCACCACTCCTGTTGCACAACTCAACGACCACCGCACAGCGTGCACAACGTTTACGGCATCTCATACAGTGCACAACGCATATTGATATCTATTGAATAGCATCGATTGCACCGTACAGGTTGCAGCATATAGGTTACACGACGCACATACAGAGCTACAGCGAGTGCCCATCAAGGGTGCATCAACCCAGAGTTTGGGGTCCACGCTGCTTGTCATTCACAACTCACGAGGTTAAATGCAGAGAACTCGAAGCGATCTGAGAGCACTCCGCTCAGTTCCCCGTTGGCACGGTGGCTGACAGCACCAGTAATGTTGCCAGTCACGGGATGATCTTCGTCAAGTGAGCATAAAGGCATCTAAGCAATATGTTCGGCTAGGCGTACTGGGTGGAATACAGGGCGAGGCCCTTTCTGAGGTGGCCAGGAAGTGCGAACAGGACGCACGGAGAACAAGTGCAGCGTTGGGTCGAGTATCTCTGAGACATGCATGTTGATGGTTGTGGGATACGTGAGGTTTCGGATGCGAAGTTCCAAATGGCCTCCTCCCCTCGCCGCCCTCGCTTCCTCCCGCTGCTTCCCCCGCCCATCATGCTTCATCCATTCATCAGTTCCTTCCGCTCACTTGCCCCGCCCATCCTTTTTGTCCTGTCCTCCGCTTATTTCCTATGCCTTCCAATCTCTTCCCCCCCGTCTCTTCCCTCCAAGACACCCTCCCCTCTCCTCGCTCCCCCCTCGTCCCTGGTCCCCCCTCTTTCCTCCATTCACCCCCGCCCCCTCTGCCCCCTCGGGCGGCGGATCCGTGTCCAGCTTGCTGTCGGTAGTCTCGGCTGACGGCATTCGCAGACACGGCGCCCACCACCACCGTCCCCGCGGCGAAGCTAAGCGGCGAACAACAGCCTCCATCCCCGCCCCCTTCCCCCTCCCTCAGCTAGACACCTCCCCTCTCGCAGCTGCCGCAGCCGAGGCGTGGCGCATGTCTTGTCCCGTGTGCCCCTTCGTTCGGTCACCCGCCTCCTCGCGGCCAGAAGCTGCGGCGGGCGAGCCTTCTCACTGCTCCGACTTGTGCTGGGAGTTCTCGGCCGAACCCAATCCCGGACCAGATCCCGCCCCATCCCCTCCCCAACTCCATCCCCGCTGCGAGGCGGCGGAGCAGCGGAGGCGGCGGCCACACCTCGGGGCGCCGGCGGACGCCGAGGCTCTCCGCACCGACGCTCCCTCTTCATCGTGGGCGAAGCACCTCCCTAGCCGCGGCCTCTCGGGCCCGGTGCGCACTCGACGCGGATGCAACGCGGGTCCGACGCGGAGTCGATGAGTCTGACATGGGTTCGGCACTGATTCGGCGCGGACAGGGGCGCGCGGGACGGAGCCCCCCCCCCCCAAAATGGTAGCGCAGTTGTTTTCTACGCCCGTTGTTCTGGGCTGGCGATGAGTTGGGCGAGGTCACGCTCGACCCTTGGGCGCTCGGTAGACGCGGAGGAGGGCAGCAAACGGGATGGGATCGAGGACTTCAGACAAGTGGCCCCTCAACTGCGCGTCAGCTGCTTCCGCGGGCCTAGAAGTATTTCCCTGTATCCCTTCCACTCGTCCTCATCATCAGCCTCGCCCGTCCCGTCCACCATTGATCCCCCTTTCCATCCTCGCAGATCCGTCCGCATCTCTCCTTGCCACGTCCGTCCACCCGCTTCTCATCTGCTATCGTCTGCCGCCTTCGTATATCCTCCTCTCCCCCTTCATTCATCTCCCTCCACCCTGCCTCCCTCATTCATCCTGCCTCGTCTGGGAGAAACCTAATCATCTCCTCCACCCTGCCTCCCTCATTCCTCCTGCCTCGTCTGGAAGAAACAGAAAACTACCCATCCAGCTATTCCCCAGATCTTTCCCGGTGTGCGTTTTGACCAGGATCTAAGGGCGAATCCAGCAGCTGCGGGGCCCAAACGGCAGACAACGACTCACGCGTAGCGGTGACGGCATCGGTCGACGTTCTCCGGGCGGCCAGCCCAGGGGGGAAGTGAGAAGGGCCGGGGCCTGCTCACAAGGCTCGGAAGTTCCCCGGCCTTCCGAGAAGAGTGCTAAGCCTTCCCAGGAGGCACAGGACATTTTCAGAAGGAGCGAGGGTTTCTGCGAAGTCCCGCCGTCTTTCAAGAAGGCGTTCTGCTTCGATGGAACATCACACGCTGTTTTTTTGGCTACCAGCGCCACACACGAAAACACAACAACAGTGTGACGATGGAACATAGCACGTTTTTGGTTGGTCACCGGTAGTCATACGATGAAGTGTGATATTCCATGTATGGCCAGCGGTAACCATACAATCGGGGAAACGTAAGACTCGAGTAAGCCGGAACTCGGGTTTGCCAACTTTTTTTGACGAGCGCGTCCTGGATTTTGACGGTTCCGTTTCCGTGGGATGTCTGCAGCGGGAGCCCGCGTCAAATTTCAGATTGGGTCTCGTCATTTTTATGATGGCCCCCGTCAGGCCAACCCGAGTCTTACTTTTCCCCGACACGACAGCGTGCGATGTTCCAGCTTCCCCCCCCCCGCTCGCCGCCGACATCCCTTCCTCGGACCCTCCGTTACGTTGCATCTTCGGGGGGGCATCGCCTGCCCCCCCAAATCGGTGTCTTTTCTTGTGCCCGACGCGGGCTCGATGCGGACTCGACGCGCCTTCGGCGTGGATTCGGCGCGGACTCGGCACGGATCCGACGCGGATCCGATGAGTCCGACACGGACACGACGCGGATGCGACGCGGGCAGGGCCGCGACGGGACAGACAAGGCCGCTTTGAGGATGCAATCTATCCGAGGCCCGAAAACCATCACTTCACTAATTTTGCGCCCCAGGGCCCACTGAGGCCCCAGGGGCCCCAGATCAGTGAAGTGATGTTTTTTTCCGCGTAAGGACCCCGAAATTCATCACTTCACTAAACCGAGCCCAGGACGAAAGTCAGGGGCCGAATTGCTGCTATGATGCCACATCGGCGTCGTAACCTAGGACGTTCCCCCCTTCTCTGACCGACCTTCTGCCCATGCCCCCGCCCTCCTGCGACCATCCTCCGACCCTCCGCCGGTCGAGTCAACGGCGGCCCTGGCGGCCCTCCCTGCTGCGTTGCCTGCCTTCGCGAAGGACGAAAGACGACGACGAGGACGACGACGACGACGACGGCCGACGGCGACGACGACGACAATGACGACGTCGACGTGGCTCGCCGCCTACATCCCCTCCTCGGAACCTCCGCGCGGAGGAGGAGGAGATGTCGGAGGAGGAGGAGGAGGAGGAGGAGGAGGGGGAGGAGGAGGAGGAGGAGGAGGAGGAGGAGGAGGGGGAGGGGGAGGAGGAGAGGAGGAGGAGAGGAGGAGGAGGAGGAGGAGGAGGAGGAGGAGGAGGAGTGGAGGCTTCCCCCGGAGGCCCCCCAGGAAGGACGCGCAGCGCCCGGGAGATCAGCGGATCAGGGCGCAGCGTGCTGTGGGCTCCCTATGGAGGAGGTGGACCCTCCGCCGACCCCCCCCGCGCGCAGAGTCCGGACGGCCCCGGGGCCTCCCCGTGCAGGGGCCAGTCGCACCTCCCGCGGGCGACGGCGCGGCCCCGCCGGCCGCTCGCGCGCCACGGGGGGGGGGGCGCTGGCGCTGCTCGCCGAAGCAGGGAGCCGCCAGGGGGCGCCCCTCGACGTCGTCGTCCTCGTCCTCGTCGTCGTCGTCGTCGTCGCCCGTTGCCTGCGCGGAGGGGGGGGGGCGCCGGCGCCCTTCGCCGAGGGAGGGGGCCGCCAGTGGGCGCCCCTCGAGGACGCGAAGATCCAAGACCCCCTCGCGTTGAGGGAAAGTCACCTCTGGAGGTTTTTCGCTATCTTTGAGTTTGGCCTTTCCCTCTACAGAAGGAATATTCAAAAATAGTCCAAACATAAAGCGTGGACGAGTTTTCATTAAAAAAGGCGGGTATATGTGGACTATTCCGCTTTCTTTCAAAATCTGCTTGTAGGAGGACGTGCCCGACCCAACGCTACCTTCGACCTCCGTGGGTCCTCGCCGGACCCCCTGGGGCCGTCAAGACACGGTTCAGGAGGAAGATTTGGTCCCCGGGAAGGGCTCCTCACCTTTCGGGGTGGACCTTTGGGACAAAAAGCGACGTCGGGTGTCTGGGTTGTTCGCGCTTCGCGGTGCGGCTCGGATTCCTCCTCGGCCTCCTCTCCCCTCGGGGTCGCGGCGTGAGAGCGCGAATTGAGGTGCCCTGGAAGCAGGGGGACCATGACCAGGGTGTCGCGGGATGGTGCCGATCCCGATCCTCGTCGTCGTCGTCGGCTGGGGCGGGTGGCGTGGCAGCGCGCATTGAAGCAGCGCGCTTGCTGCCGCGTCTGCGCCTCGGCCCCCATCCCCCCGGATCGGAGTTGTGCGCCTGCGTTTCGGCTCAGGTACCGTGCTTGCGCGGCTCTGGATACCAAATGAAGTAGATGTGACGATGAGGATGGGCCTCGTCTCACAATTCGTGGTGGTGCTGCTGGCGCCGCTCGTTTTCTGTGTGTCCGCCTCGAGAATACGAGAAACCCCACGGAACTTCACGGTCAACAGGAGAGCGCACATTCTTTTGTTGCTAACTTGTGCCTTTCTGACTGGATGATGAGGAGGAGAAAGAGCTGGCGCTTGAGGCAGGAAGCGGGGGGTGAGTACGAGGAGTTCTCCTGGCACAGACCTGTCGCGGCGCATTCGGCTAAGCCCAGCCATCACGAGGGTAGTTATGGCGGTTGTTCCCCGAAGTTGTTTCAGCTGTCTCGGGACCAGCGGAGCATGTGGGTTTGCGCATGCATGTTTTCCGATCGTGGGTTGCAGCAGTGGGCGGAAGAAGCACGGCGTGCAGCTTCAGGAGGGGAACGGACCGTATTAGGGCAGAGAGAGAGAGATAATGATGTAGGGCCTGAAGATGGAAGACAGCAGAGAGTTGGTTTGAGGTCGTGCATATACATTTGGGATGTTCCAGATTATGTTCAGACATGATATCCACGATGCTTATTTTAGACGCGATGCAACACTATACATACATCTTCAGAAGCACTGATATTTATCCGCTTGGCAATTCGCACGACGCCGACGCGGATGTACTTCTTTTCGGGAAGCCGAAGTTAAAGACGAAGTTTAAGTCCAAAGGTCCGCTTCTTCTTTTTAATATTGGTCATCGCCTCCTGCTCTATGTGCATGATTGCCGCGATCTGCGCATTGCGGTGCATGGAGCCTAGTTGGCGCAATTGCATGTCCCCCCAGTTTTCACATATCATGTTGCGAGGGGGAACTTCAGATACCAACACGCTCACACTACATGTTTGTCTCATGCAGGCATGCTGGGACACTTGTCAGCAACGTCACGCTTCTGCTGCGTTCGATGAATCCTGCGGGGCTGCGGGTCGTAGGCGCCCGGTCGCCCTTAGGCCCAGGGGTCGCGAGTAGATTTTTGGTACAGCGAGGATTCGGAAGGGAGGGAGATGTGAGAGGGAATGATGGGAGGTAGGTTAGGCCGCAGGCGGAGGATTGGGGGCGAAGAGGCAGTAGAGTGAGAAAATGCTGCAGGAGGCGAAAGAGTGTAGAGATGGAGAAAGAAGTGAGGGAGGATTGCTTATGCAGGGGACGGAGGTACCAGGAGGAGGAGGATGAGGAGGAGGAGGAGGAGGTGCAGGAGGAGGATGAGGAGGAGGAGGAGGAGAAGGGGAGAGGAGGCTTCCTCCTGAGGTCCCCAGGGAAGGACGCGCAGCGCCCGGGAGATCAGCGCATAAGAGTGCAGCGTGATGTGGGCTCCCTGGAGACTGTTGGTTCCACATTTGGTGTCGGTTGTGCTGATCCCGCACTGGCCCCCGAAACGTTTGCGCATGATGTTGTACCCGAAGGTCTGCGCCATCTGCCCCCGGACACCACCAGGCGGAGCCCCATCTTGGGGCCGCTCGGGGACATATCGAGGCTTCTTGGGCCATCTTCGGGTCATGCTGGCCAGGTTGGGGTCAGCGGGCTTCAGGGCCTATCTTGGGAGCACATCTGTGTGTCGTCTTGCGGCCTGTGCGGACGATCCTGGGCGATTTGGGCCTCGTCTTGAGGCCGCTTGGGGACACCGTCGTGCCGGCTTGAGCGATCTCGGAGGCTGCTCTGGGGACCGCTTTGAAGCAATCTTGTGACATCATGGGGTCGAACGTGGGACAGCCCAAAAACATTGAAAACCATGGGAATGTCAATGTTGGTTTCCCCTCTCGGTGGGGCCTTCGGGCAGGAAACAGGCGCTCTCCGGGAAATGGGTCCGCTCTCTGGCTAAAGGTTTCGTGTTTTTGGTGGGCCGACATTGCGATGCATGTTGGTGCCATGTTCGGCCTCCTTGAGTTCTGAAGGCTTCCTTCCGGGCCTTCGGGGCCTTGTGAGGCTTCGTTGCCCCACCTGGTCGCCTGGAATTCCGGGCCATTTTAGACTAGTCAGGGCACACACACACACACATATGCACACATACATATATATATATATATACACATGCATACACACATGTACTATATTTCCATACACATATATATATATATGTATGTATGTGCACATGATTGTGTATATGCATGTGTACATGTATATGTACAGACGTCTATATAGTACTCATACGCAAACATACATGCATATATACATACACACGTGTAATGTGTAAATATATTTACACATACATACATACATACATACATACATACATACATACATACATACATACATACATACATACATATATACATATATATGCACATGCTTGTGTAAATGCATGTGTAAATGTATATGTACATATGAATATATAGTACTCATACGCAAACATACATGCATGCATACATACACACGTGCAATGTGTATACACATATTTACATCTATATGTGTATATGTATATATACATATATGTGTGTGTGTGCACGAGGCGGGGTGGCCCGGGACGGGGCCCTCGACAGCGCATGGCGGGACCAGGGGGTCTGGTGACCCCGCCGGGGCGCGGGGGGCTCTCTAAGATCGCCCGAACATGGCCCCAGATCGCCTCAAATAGCGTTTCCAGTCCGCGAAAACGACCAACGACGGCACAATATTAACCGACTGCCCCGATAATGTATCATTCCCCCCCTTTCCCTCCTGAATCTTTTTGATCCCGTGTCAATCGGATTTAATTGTGGAGAGGGGCGCGGAGGCCAAGCTTGATAATCACTGGGGGGAGTTAGGAATCGAAGTTGCCATCATCTTATGTTGACGAGCAACAGCATCAAAAACGCTGAGCATGGCAATGGTGGTCTCACCATTTTAGCTTCCGCAATCACGATCGCGTGGTAGGGCTATGGGATTCTCACCTGGTCCTGCGGCCTGTGGACGAGTCGCTGGATCGAGCGCGTCCTGCGCGAGATCCAGGGCGAGAGCCCTCAAGTGCCCGTGGGCATCAGCACGATGTGCGCCCGAGGCAGCGAGTGGATCATCTCCCGGAATGAGGCCAGCGGCAACGACTTGGCCAAGGCGAAGGCCAAGGCCAAGAGCAACGCCAAGTCCAAGCCCTGCAGGGGCCCCACGGCGGTCCAGCCGAAGCACGCCACTTTCGAGCATGCAAGCGCTGCCGCCCAGGCCTGCACCGAGTGCCTTCTGTTCAGGGATGGCTCAAAAGGTTGCCGAGCCTGCCTGGGCGAGTGGTTCGAGGTCGTGCGCAAACGAGGTTTCTTGGCCAGGAGTGCCAAGTGCCGCTCTTGCGTAGGCAAGTTGTAGCCACGGGACTCGATATCTCTCGAGTCCGTCCAGGATCATCATCATCATCGCCACCGTCATCGCCACCGTCTTCTGCCTGGAAGGTCTTTGATTATCCCCGCCAGACCCCCGAGTTTTATTGTCCCCCAGGGACTATTGTCAGGAATGGTGGGTCACCCCAGAATCCGCCCCTGGTTGTCAAAGAGGCCCCCAAGACGGCCCGATGGGGCCTCCAAGATGCCTATCAAGGAGCCCAGGAGGCAAACGTTTGTCATTTTCCTATTGGCGTTGGGGGGGATTGTCGAGTTTTCGTCTTTTCACTTCTTCGTTGGTCCAAGATGGCCCAAGAAACCCCAATGCCCGCTCCGAGACAGCCCCGTAGACGGCCGCAAAACAGCCCACGAGGGCCCCGCGACTGTGCCTTGGGCGCCCAAAACGGCCCGAGAGGCCCCCCCGACGGCCCAAAGAGGGGGCCAAGAGGGGCAACACGAACCGACAATCCAAGCCTTCCACCCCGAAGGGCTATCAGGAGGCTCCAAGGGCCCCCCAAGAGGCCCCCAAGAAACGCCCCAATGGGCCGAAGAAGTTCCAAGGGGCCTCCCACGAAGGCCCGAAGTGGTTGATGCATTTTTGAAGTTTCAGCCTTTGGGTATCCCCACGCTCCAGAACGGGCCAAAAAACTTCCAATACCGCTCCAAGATAGAGAACGAGGCTTCCAAGAGGGCCCCATGACGGCCCACGACGGCCCCAAGACGGCCCCAAGAGGGGCCCAAGAGGGGTAACACGAACCGAACATCCGGCCGTGCCAAACCGAGAAGTTTTCATGAAGCCCCATGAGGCCCTCACTATGATCAGAGAGGCTTCCAAAAAACTCCCAAGAGGGCCGAAGAGGTTCCAAGAGGCTTCCCAAGAAGGCTTTCAGAAACACAAATCGTTGTTTTGCCGGTGTTTTTTTATGGATTTTAGAATCTCCAGCCTTTTGGCATTCCGATGCTGCGAGACGGCCCAAGAGGCCTCCAATACAGCTCTCCGGGATAGAGGAACACGCAGGGCCCCAAGACGGCCCACGAACGTCCCAAGACAGTGCCTGATGTGCCCAAGACGGCCCTCTTCCCAAGACGGCTTCAAAAGAGGCCCAAGAAGGGGAACGCGCCAAAAGCAGAGCTCCCCCCCCAAAACGCCCACAGGAAGCCCCAAGAGGAGGACTTCAAGTGGTCCGACGAGGCCCCAAAAAAGGTTTTTAGGACACGTGCGAAGCGGCCCCAAACTAGCCCAACAGTGCCTTCGACGCGTCAAAACTGCCTCCAGGAGGCCCCCTTGGGAGGCTTCCGGAGTGCCCCAATGTGGCCCTAGGTGGCTTCAAGTCGGGCCTCCACGCAGCCAAAACGGCCAATGACGGCTTTAGAGTGCAGAACATCACCTTCCGATTGCCCAGAGAAACCCGACGATTCCCCCAAGGGACCCCGAGACGCCCCCCCCAAAAAAACACCCAAAAGGGGCCTCCAACAACCAACCAGGATCTTCCAGCGCCCCCCCACGGCCTGGGCGAGAACCCGAGCGCGCGCGAAGCGCGCGCGATAGTGTTAGTGTATATATATATGTGTGTGTAGATGTTTGGAAAGATCTGAATACATACATATATATATATATATGTACACACCTATCGGTATATGTACATATATACGTATCCCCCCGTTTCGTTTGGTGTGTCAGGTCTCCTTGGTAGATGGTAGAGAGGAGACAGGGCAGGAGAGATCGTAATGATTAGTGGCATACAGCACAGAGAATCAAGAAAGCAGTCCAACAGCGTGCTTCTCCGCCGGATGCATTCGAACTCCGATTTGTTGGTTGTGCCAAATTTAGGACGTAGTGGTATGCGATATAGTTCACCACATTCCAGTCACGCTGTACTCAAGATGATTACGCCATTCCGCCGGCCACCGCAATATGATATGTGTTGCTTGCGCTGTCGCATGTCTTGTTTGTTGTTTCCCATCGTCCTGCCTTCGTGCAGTTGCAGGTGGGTCCTCTTCTTCTTCGTCAGTTGCGTGACTTCTTGGCTTCGTGGGATCCGTTTGCAGGGCTCTGTATTGGGTGGGTTCTCATACATATCGTCACCCCCATCAAGCGGGGATCGGTGGACAGCCAGATCAGAAAGAGGAGGAGGAGGAGGAGGAGGAGGAGTGCACTTCAAGCCCAAGTGCGCGCGCGTGTGTTGTATATGACATGTCGCCGCACCTAGCTTGCTGTTCCGCCCCTATGCCGGCTCGCGCCTTCTCCGGCCATCTCCATGAGAAGGTCGCGCGGAGCCTTGGGGGCCCAGGCGTTTCTCTGCAGGCGGCCAGCAGGCTGGGGCGAGGAGAAGCGCGAGCCTTTTTTTGCTCGGTAGCAAATTCCTCGTACTTAATTTGTTAGCATCGGCTAGCGTCGATTAGCGTCTGGACTCCATGAGATAGCGCCGATTCAGCGTCGGTCAGCGTCGACTGGCTGCGATTTAGCGTCGATGTAGCGGCGATCGGCGTCAATTCGCAATGGCCGACAAGGTGGTACGGGAGGCTCCCACGAGTTGCCCCCGAAGTTCTGTTGTGAGAGGCAGAGAGCGAGGGCGGGCCGTTGTGGGTTCGCTGGGGGCCACTCGCTCGGCTCTCCTTTCCCCCCCCCCCGGTGCCGCCGCGCGGGGGGCCTTCCGATGTGTTGGCCGTGCTGCTCCTCGAGGGGGGACCCTCGGGCAGGGGTGGCAGGGGCTCACGCCGTCGCGCCGCGGGCCACGTGAGGCGCCGTTCTTTCAGACGCCGCTCGCGTTGTGGGACCTGCCTGGGGCCCACCAGACGGATCTGTTTGGCTCCAGTTCGACCCAGGTTCGACTCAAGTTCGACGCAGGTTCGACTCAGGTTCGACTCAAGGTCGACTCAAATCTACGGTCGTTCCACGCAGCTTCGACGCACGAGTGGAGCGAGTGTCTCCAGGAAGGTCCCCAGAATGAGCATCCAACATCGTGATCACGGAGTTTTGGACGTCTTCTTTGCATGGTCCGCCGTATCCACGCTCCTCTCAACGAGTCGCATCTCGGGGTGGGGGCCAGAACCATCTGTCCTCCGCGGTCGGCATGACTGCTTGTGTTCCTCGCATGCGCTCTGTTGGAGCGCGGGCCTGGAACTTCTGCGAACATCACTGGGTGCAGCACGTGTTGCCCGGCGGACACTCGTAATGGGTTGCGCCGGGGTTCAGGCGATTGCGTCGCCAGTGATGCTCGCGCAGCCTACTGTCGGGGCGCTGTCGTTGAAGATGGGCTCCGTGTTCCTTAATTGTGTCGCAGTTTGCCTTAGGTTGTCCTTAGGTTTTCGATGGTAAATCAAAGTTTAACTTATGGAAAAAAGGGGCCTCGTTCCTTATTTATCGTTCCTTAGGTCAACGCCCCGACTGTACTGTATTTGGTGTGTTTGCTACGCATTGTTCTGTCCTGGTCCCACGTGCAGTGCTCTTTGGCAGTGCCAGCCTACGCGGCCGCGCCAGGTCGTGCGAGAGGCCCGGCGAACGCACGCAGCGAGAGCAAGCAGGGCAAGCAGGGCAAGGAGAACGTCACGGAGATCGCCGAGTGTGAGGAGCCGTTCCCGGCGCCCGAGCAGGCGGTCATCATGTGCCCAGAGGAGCGGGGAGCGGGGGGGGGATCTTTCCCATGGGAAGGGCGCTCCGAGCTGGTGTCAAGAACCAGACGATCTTGAAATCGAACACGCCTACGGCGAATCACCGCCGCCCCCTGCCCTTTTCGGAAGCGCCTGTGTGGCCGAACGTTGTGGCCAGAGGCCTGCCAAGCTATCGGACCATGTGTCTCCCAAATCGGTTTGGACAGCTTTCGGGGAACACGTGGAGGAGAATGAACATGAAGTGGAAGAGGAAGAGGCCTCTTGGGCCGCCTTGACCCGTCGGAATGGCGAGAAGAAACAAATGCCAACATCATTGAAACACTTAGGAAAAATGAATGATGTCGGTCTCTTCGGGCCCACCTGGAGGACCTCTTGGAGGCCTCTTGGGCCGTCTTGGAGGCCTCTTGTGGGCCTCTTGGGCCGTCGTGGGCATTATCGACGCCATGTTAGGCTGTCTTGGAGGCATCTTGGGCCGTCTTGGAGGCATCCTGGGGGGCGAAGCTATCGGACCATGTGTTCCCCGAGTCGGTTTGGAAAGCCTTCGGGGAACACGTGGGAGAGGAAGAGGAAGAGGAGGAGCAGGAGGAAAAAGGAGAAGGGGGAGGATGCTTCTTCGGAGCCTCTTGAGGCACTCTTGGGCTCGATTGGGCCATCTTGGGACCGTCTTGGAGGCCATGTTGGTGTTATCTTGGGCTCTCTTAGAGCCTCTTGAGGGCCTCTTGGGGCCTTTTGGGGACTTCTCAGGGGCCTTTGGCTCTTAGGGCGTTCCTGGCCCGTCTGACGCCGTCGGGAGCCGTCTTGGGGAGCCTCTCTGAACCGGCTTGGGGCCCTCTTGGGGCGCTTCGGGGCCGTCTTGGCGGCCATCTTGGGCGTCTTGGAGGCCTCTTGGCCCGTCTTGGGGCCCTCTTGGGGCCGTCTTGGGGGCCCTTGTGCCATCAAGGGGACTTCTTGGAGGCCTCTTGGGCGATCTTGGGGCGATCCAAGAAATCCGCTCGGAGCGCCAAAATGTTATGTTTATCGCGATGTTTCTTCTTCGAACCACCCCTCAGTGCAAGCGCTGCCCAATGTTCTGTCTCTGGAGGCCCCCATCAGGCCTCGGGACGTCAACGGCAACCTGGGGCGAAACACCCGTGCATGGGAATGGGTCCAGACCTCTGGTGGTCCACGTGCAGAAATCACGAGTTTACAAGATTTGGTAGAAGGTCGACTATGTGACATTCAGAGTCGCCCTGTGCCCTGTTTATCGCGTTTTGTGTCTTCTTAGCGTCTGGAGTACAGGTTGCCCTCGGAAGAGACCTGTGCCCGTCCCCACTGTATCCATCCTCCGTCGTTTTCGCGCCTGCCATCTCCAGTCTGATGTCCCTGCCGAAGTGCAACCACCTCCGTCGAAGGCCGTCCGCACACCTAGATACATTCGGAAAGCGATCCGTCCTATAGGAGTCATCACGGCCGCTCTTGGATGCGCCAGCTCAACGCGGGGCGATTCTTTCGTGGTCAATTTGTTGTCACCCCTCAGCTTCGTCCCACCGGCTCCCCTCCTTCCTCTCAGCTTTCGCCCCCTCGGCTTTCATCCTCCTCCTCCCCCGAAAACCTCATGCCGTACCAAAACATATCTTATTCCCCGCTTCATCGGCCTCCTCGCTTCTTCCTCCCTCTCCTCCTCTCCTGAGGAGTGCCCCCTGATGCGGTTCTCTACCGAGCATTTGTGCCACTTCCGGTGCATCTCGGAAGCAAAGTGCGCCACCTACCCGGGCGTGGTCAACCGCTACGAGGGACGCGGTTGGGCATTGCAAGCGAGATTTGCCCCCCCTTCCCCTCGTCCTCCTCGTCGACACCGCCCCGCTCCCCTTCTCCTCCTCCCCCCCGATGTTTCCCCCCTTCCCCTCCCTCGAGTTCCCTCCCACCCCATTCCCTCCCCTCGCCCCTCCCTTTCCTCTCCCTTCTACGTTGGACACGCAGCTCCCTTCGGGGCCGAATAGAGTCGTTATAGAGGCAGCTCCCTTCGGGGCCTCAAAACATGTGAGTCATCTGAGGGGTGTGCCGAATCGGGTGCGGGTGCGCCATGCGGACTCTGCCGCTGGGGCCTTCGGTGGAGCTTAGGCGCGTGAGGGGTGTTCCGAACTGGGCGCGAATGCGCCATGCGAGCTGTGCCGCTAGGGCTTTCGGTGACGTGTCGGGGGGGCACCGAATCAGGTGCGGGTACACCATGCGGTCCTTTCCATTGGGGCCTTCTGTGGAGCTTCCTATGGAACCACGAAGCGTGTGAGGGGTGTACCGACTCGGGTGTGGGTGCGCGACTCGGACCTTGCCGCTGGTGCCCTCGGTGGAGCCCCCTATGGGGCCACGAAGCGTGTGGGGTGTGTGCCGAATCCGGTGCGGGTTTGCCATGCGGACTGTGCCGCTGGGGCCTTCGGTGGAGCTCCCTATGGGGCCACGAAGCGTGTTGGGGGTGTGTTGACTCGGGTGCGGGTACGCCGTGCGAACCCTGCCGCTGGGGCCTTCGCTGGAGCACCCTATGGGGCCACGAAGCGTGAAGGGTATGCCGAATTGGATGCGGGTACGCCGTCCGGACTGTGCCACTGGGGCCGTCGGTGGATCTCCCTATACGGCCACGGAGCGTGTGAGACGCGTGCCGAAATTGGCATGCGGGGGGTAGAGGCAGGGATGGGAGGAGGGGGAGGAGGAGAGGAGGAGGATGAGAGGACGCGGGGCGCTGTCTTCAAAACGAGAACCCAACACAGGACAGATGGGAATTCGCCTGGCGAAGAGCCCAACCATGTCCAGCTGCCAGCATCGTGGGGCAGGTGAAATCGAGGAAGGGGGCCGCCACAAGGACTGCCGCGAGAACAGGAAAGGAGCACTGGGCACGGGCTTGCGGGAGATGTTTTTTTGTTCTGCCGAACCCCTAAACGCACCCGTTGTTTTGCCCCTTTTTTCCCAGCTCTTTGGCCCGCCCTTGTTTCCGTGGTGCTTTGCGTTCCTGCCCGCCGGGCGCTTCCAAACGTGGGAGTCTGCCGAATCGGGTGCGGGTGCGCCGCGCGGACCCTGCCGCTGGGACCTTCGGGGGGGCTTCCTATGGGGCCACGAAGCGCGTGAAGAGTGTGCCGAATCGGGCGCGGGTGCGCTATGCGCACCTTGCCGTTGGAGCCATCGGTGGAGCTCCTCATGGGGCCACGGAGCGTGTCAGGGGTGTGCTCGTTCGGGTGCGGGTACGCGCCAAGCGAACCTTGCCGCTGGGGCCTTCGGTGGAGCTCCCTGTGCGGCCACGAAGCGTGTGAGGGGTGTCTCGAATCGGGTGCGGGTACGCCATGCGGACTGTGCCGCTGGGGCCTTCGCTGGAGCTCCCTACGGGCCACGAAGCGTGTGAGGGGTGTTCCGCATCGGGTGCGGACCGTGCTGCTGGGGCCTTCGGTGGAGTTTCTTATGGGACCACGGAGCGTGTGAGGGGTGTGCCGAATCGGACGTTTGTGTACGCCATGTGGTCTGTGCCTCTCGGGCCTTCGGTGGAGCTCCCCAAGTGGCCACGAAGCGCGTGGAGGGTGTGCCGAATCGGGTGTGGGCGCTCCCGGCGGATCCTGCCGTTGGAGCCTCTGGTGCAGTTATTTGTTTGGGGCCGCGAAACGCGTGAGGGGTGTATCGAATCCGATGCGGGTACGCCGCGCGGACCTTGCCGCTGGGGCCTTCGGTGGAGCCCCCTTTTGGGGCCACGAAGCGTGCGGGGGTGTGCCGACTCGGGCGCGGGTACGCCAGGTGGAACCTGCCGCTGGGGCCCTCGGTGGAGCTTCCCCTGGGGCCGCGAAACGTGTGAGCGGCGCACCGAAGCGGATGCGGGCACGACATGCGGATTTTGCCTTATGGGGCAACGAGGCGTGTGGTGTGTGTGTGTGTGTGTGCCGAAACAGAGGCAGGCGGAGGGCAAGAGGCAGGCATCAGAGGAGGGAGCGGGGTGAGGAAGGAGGAGGAGGAAGGGGGGGGTCTTTGTCTTTTTGTGTTAAACATAGGAAATAACGAGGACCCAACGCCGCAGGATGGTTGGGAAACACGAGGATGATAGCTCGTTGCGAAACCGAAACAACATCTTTGGTATCAGCGACCCCAAAAGAGTGGCACGACTGCCCCGCGCAGGCGGGGGAAGACGAGAAGGGGGGAGGAACAGCACACGGAGTACTAGGAGGAGGAAGATGAGCAAACGGAGGAGGAGGAGGAGGAGGAGACACGATCGTCTCTTCATCCTTGCTCTCCCGACCCTCCCTCCACATCCGTCTCATCATACAGGCTCAATGCTGCCGTTGGCAGACTGACTGGAAGACGTTCCTGTTAGGGTTTCTTTCTCGCAGCGGAGATTCTTGCACATTCTTTCAACAAGGCCCCATGATGGATAGCAGAGCCAAATGTTGTGACAGTGTTTCGATGTTCCTTCCATTTCCCCGTCCCGGCCCGCGCCCACCTCCGATCTCTCCTGCTCCCGAGTTCCCTTGGGCCCCCCACTCCCCATGGGCGCTGCGAGGGCAAAGATTCAAGGGGAAGCGGAGCGAGTGTTATATAATGTGTGTGAACTATGCATTTACGCACGCGCGTCGCCGACCCGCACCTCGATGGCATTTCGTGCCAATCCCAGTGCCTCCAGGAGAGCTCGGGTCGCTCTCCCGGGCCTCCCGGGCGTCCCGGAGAAGCCGCGGGACGGCCCAGAACGCCTCCGAGACAGCCACAAAGGGCTTCGAGACCGCCCACGCCAGCGCCCACGGCCCAAGAGGCCCCCACGAACACCCAAAACCGCCCGACATAGCTCCGAGGAAGCCCAAGGGAGGTCCAAGTCTTCCAGACACCTGGGGAACTCGTATGTTCTGTCGTTCTAGGTCCGCGGCACGGCGGGTGCCACCTTCTTGGCACGCTGGAGCATCGAATATACATGGCAGGCAAGAGATGGTCAGACAGTGTTACAGTCGGGGCGCTGGGGAGGGGCTCCATGTTCCTGAATTGTTTCGCAGCTTGCCTCAGGTTGTCCTTAGGTTTTCGATATGAAATCGAAGGTTAACTTATGGAAAATAGGGGCCTCGTTCCTTATTTAGGGTTCCTTTGGTCAACGCCCCGACTGTATTGGCCCTCGACTGGGCCAAGACATTCGACAGCCTTGCCCCCAAAGACGCCCTCCGAGGCCGGCGCTGGAAGCGCGCCTCGGCCTGCCCGCCCCTCTGTCGGCAGCCCTCGGGGCGACCTACACTCGGGGGCGGAAAAGAGGCGGGTGATGATCAGGGGGGGATATCATTGCGGGGGTCATGATATCTCCCCAGGTTTCGTGGCGTCTCTTCTTGTTTTATTGCGTCCCTGGCGCCCCCGCTGGGCTGCGCACATGCCGCTGTTTCGGCCTGCCTGCTCCTCTGTTGGCAGCCATCGGGGCGATCTTTACCAGTTTGAAACATAGCCCTATCCCTATGTTTAACATCACCTCACCTCGATGCCGATCTTGAGGATTCCCATCAGTTTCTGAGGGCCTGCCCCTGAGATTGTCCTCGCTTTTTGCTCGCCCATCTCAGGGATGGGCATACGTTTGAGGCTGGTTAGATCTACACGGCACGGCGCTTCGCTGTGTTGGGCAAGCCGGTGCCAGTTCGAACCCTCGGCCGCGGCACGCAGGCAGATTTGCCAAGGGTGCCCTCTCTCGCCGCTCCCGTGCACCATGCTCGTGACGGTTTTGATCAGGGGGGGAAAAACACAGAGACACAATTAATCCTCGATTCCCCCCAAAATATGGGAAATTAGCCTGGCGAAGGACCCAACCATGTGCAGCTGCGAGTACCGCACGGATATGAGACGAAGGACGGGGCACGCAAACTAGGCCCCTCTTCTCATAGGCACCGCGCCACTGGGGCCTTCGGTGGAGCTTCCTATGGGGCCACGAAACGTGTGAGGGGTGTGCCGAAATGGGTGGTGGGGAGGCATGCGAACCCTGCCACTGGGGCCTTTCGGTGGGGCTCCCCATGGGGCCACGAAACGTGTGAGGGGTGTGCCGAAATGGGTGGTGGGGAGGCATGCGGACCCTGCCACTGGGGCCTTTCGGTGGGGCTCCCTATGGGGCCACGAAACGTGTGAGGGGTGTGCCGAGATGGGTGGTGGGGAGGCATGCGAACCCTGCCGCTGGGGCCTTCGGTGGGCTCCCTATGGGGCCACGAAACGTGTGAGGGGTGTGCCGAAATGGGTGGTGGGGAGGCATGCGAACCCTGCCACTGGGGCCTTCGGTGGAGCTCCCTATGGGGCCACGAAACGTGTGAGGGGTGTGCCGAATGGGTGGTGGGAGGCATGCGAACCCTGCCACTGGGGCCTTCGGTGGAGCTCCCTATGGGGCCACGAAACGTGTGAGGGGTGTGCCGAAATGGGGAGGCATGCGAACCCTGCCACTAAGGCCTTCGGTGGAGCTCCCTATGGGGCCACGCTGCGTGCCGAAATGTGAGGGGTGTGTGGGTGAGGCATGCGACCCTGCCACTGGGGCCTTCGGTGGAGCTCCCTATGGGGCCACGAAACGTGTGAGGGGTGTGCCGAAATGGGGTGGTGCGTGGGGCCTTCGGTGGAGCTCCCTATGGGGCCACGAAACGTGTGAGGGGTGCCGACCATGCGAACCCTGCCACTGGGGCCTTCGGTGGAGCTCCCTATGGGGCCACGAAACGTGTGAGGGGTGTGCCGAAAGGGGTGTGCCGAGATTGGGGGCCTTCGGTGGAGCCCCATATGGGGCCTTCGGTGGAGCTCCCTATGGGGCCACGAAACGTGTGAGGGGTGTG